GCATCTCAGCTCCGCTTCGGCTCCAGCCAGGGATGCGGCAGTGGGCAAAAGGCTCCTTAACCCCAGCCCTGGCAGACCCCCACCCAGTGCTGGGGTGGCCAGGATGGGGCCGTTTGCTGTGACCAGGCAAAGAGCAGGAGGGAAGGAGGGAGCCAAGGGTGCGGGGACAAATCCTGCTCCAAGGACTGCGGGGTCCAGCCAAAAAACCCCACTCCTCCTCCTCAGGTGCAGAGTTTGCATTGAACCTGTGCACGCGTGTGTGCAAAGCACCCACGCGTATATACATATATACATATATATCCATTACATACACATATATATACATACATACACGAGCGCCACGCCCATCCCTGTCGCCGCAGCCTCCCGCCCGGCCGAGCCGCTGGCGAGGTGCCCAGCGAGACGCCACTTATCCTAATCAACCTTTCTGTGCTGAAAACTCAATGTCACTTTAGGAGCTGCCAGAGCCTCGCAGAAAACCTCCGAGCCCAGAAACGCTGATAATCATAGAAAGGCTGGTCAAGAGGTGAAAAAAAATAATTTAAAAAAAATCCATTCTTGTTTTTAGCTAATGGTTTTGTTCCCATTAAAGCCTCCGTGCTGGTGACTCATGGCAGGGGTCAGATCACTCTAAATTATGAGTCCAGGGAGCACGAGCCAAGATTCATGTGGAGCAAAGCAGCTTCTGCATGGGGACCTTCAGCACCCCCCAGGCAAAATGGGGAGGGAATGGGAAATTCAGAGGCAAACCAGCATGCCATGGCACACATCCATCCCAGTGCCATCACCTTCATTGCTGCAGGATGCCGCCAGCACAGGGTCCTGCTGCTTATTTTTGAAAGGTCCAAAATCAAAGAGATTTTCGGAGGAAGGAGGCAACTCCCAGCCCTACAAAACCTGCCCAGTGCTGGGTCCAACTCCAACACCTACCTTTCCCATCCTCCTGCTTCCAGCCCCTCGTTTGGGATTTCACACACATTTTCTGCTCCTTCCTTCCCTTTCAACCCCTCCTTCTGCCTCCTCCTTATTTATATGTCCCAGGAGTCACTGGCTACTTTATCATCCTCCTCTGAGCCCTCGGCTGCTGCAAATCACAGCAGAGAGAAAATCTGCAGCCCAGCACAGCTGGGAGAGGAGCTGACGCCGTCTGTCGTGCCTTGCGACTGCCGCGCTCCTAAAATGATGAAACTGACACAGCAAAGAGTCCTCCTTCAGTGTATCTTACACACACATGCAGAAAAGAAATGGAAAAGCAAATGGAAAAGTGCTCCTCTGCGCCCGCCCATGTCCGTGGAGCGCACAGCTGGAAGGATGAGCACATCTGGGCGCTGCCCCAGCTGGAGGCTGCAGCCACTCATGGGTGATAGCACACGAGGGATCCGCACAGGCTGGGGAAGGGGCTGCCTGCGGAGGAGGAACGATGCCAAATCTGGCACTTTAGGAGGGGATGATGAGGGAGATGCTCAAGCTACCATTGGAGTTCATTCTCCTCAAAACCTCCTCTGCAGCCAAACCAATAGCTGAGAAAAGATACTTTCATTCCTCCCCCTTGTGCTTTCTCGCCTTGTCCCCATCCATCTTCACACCTGGAATTCCTTGAACACCCCAGAGCACGGTGAGGCATGTGTTGCCGGTGCAGTGCCCCCAGCCGCACCCTGCTGCCCACCATCTGCCTCCAGTCACCTCGGCACAGCCATGGGCTCAGCACTGGAGCCTCAACACAGCGCATTCACATGGCACTGAGTACAGCCACGGGGATCCCACCACGACCCCAACTCCACTATGCACCCTGGCAGCATCATTCATCTGGGTTCCTTGGGGTTTTACCCATCCCCATCACTCTGGTAAGAGAAACTCGGTGGTATCAACAATTTTTTTGGAGCTGGGCTTTCCCAAAAAAACCACAGCCCACATTCAGCTTGGTCCCACCACCCTTCAAGGGAGGCCCAAGACGAGCCATCCTTCAGCAAGACAAGGCTTTTTTTTCTTCCAAGCATCACCACCACCAACTAACCCAGTGCTCCCGGGGAGCTGAGGCAACAGGAAAGGCTCCGTCGTGATTTATCACCAGGAAAAGGTGGGCTCCAAGCCCAAAAGAAACAGTCCTTGAGCTCACATCCCCTCTCTAGGGGAAGCAGCAGACATTCAATGAATTAAGCCTTTGGTCAATTCTGATTATGAGTTTAATTGCCTTCACCTTTGTTTTTTGCATGTGGTAGTCTCGTACTTTTAATTACTGCAAGAGAAAACGCTGCCCAGCCTCCTCTCACCCTCCCACTTCCAGCCTTCCTCACTTCTGAAACTGTAAGGGATTTAAGTGCCGGGATTACAACTTAACACCAGCTGAGCGAACCGAGGTTAAGCTTGAGTGAATAAAAAAATTGTATTATAGAACTTCAGACTATTAAATGGGAAAAAAAATGGAATGAAGAAGATTAGGGAAGCAGCTAAGAAAAGCAGCATTTAAAAGATTAAGCTGGGAGGGGTTTTTTTAATGCAAGCTCAAAAGATTAAGTCCATGTTTTTTCCAAAAGATGGTGATTTTGGGCGGCCTTGATACTTGCCATGCCCAACTCATTAAATCATGAAGAGGATTGACTCCTGCCACTCCTGAACAGCTGGGGCTCTTTGTATAGTCACAACAGGACCAAAAAAACCCAAAAGCCATGAGTTGAATCTCTCCCCTTTGAGCAGGTCAGAGAAAGTGGCTCTTGGAGCCACGTTGGCACCAGCCTTCTTCAAACGTGTGGTTCTGGTCAACCCTTCACGGCATCCTCATCCTCCGCAGCCAGGATGGACCCAAGAATTGGGCACACACACCCACCCCCCCCCATCTGCCTTTCAGCATCCCCATCCAAGACACCCAACAGGACCGTCTTCTCCAGCCTAAAAGAACTGAATCAATGATGACTCGGAGGCTGACACCCCTAAAATGAGGATTTTAGGGCAGTGTTCTGGGGCTCTGCACCCTACCCTGAAGTAGCCTAAAAGAACTGAATCAATGATGACTTGGAGGCTGACACCCCTAAAACGAGGATTTTAGAGCAGTGCTCTGGGGCTCTGCACCCTACCCTGAAGTTAAACCAGGTCAGTGTTTTGGGGTCCAGACCCTACACACCCCAAGGGAGTGCTGCCCGAACCTCCCGTCTTCACAACCGCAAAGTCCCATCCAGGCATCATACGCAGTGTAAGGAAAATTTACAGGGATTTCATGTCATATATATATAACCGTGTATGTATGTGAGTGTGTGTGTATATATATATATATAAAATATGCACATTTGGCCTCTCCAGTTCCTGCCATAAAGAAGCGCTGCTGTCTTGTAGCCTCCACCAGGGTCATAAATCCCTATATCCGCTAACACCCTGAAGGGACAAAGTGTCACCGTGTCTGCGCAGGTTAATTCACGATGCAACAGAGTCAAAGCCACTGATTTTTCTTCCACTTGCATGGTTAAATTGCTCTAAGAGCAAAGCCAAGGTCTCCATGGGACACCATCAAGCTCGCAACCATCATGAACACAAAGCTCCTTGCCTGCATTGCAAACAGCGCTTCAGCTAATTAAAAGCCAACTCATTGAAATATCTAATTAACTTTTCTGCACAGAGAGCTTGCTAAAAAAAAAAAAAAAATTCTAGCCTTTCTAGAAGGCACAGTTGGGCTCTGGATCAGACCCTGCTGCTCTGCACTTCAAGGGGAAACCATCACCCTTGGGTTAGGATACCACCACCCTTGGGTGACGATGGCTTCCAGGATCATTAGCTCCTGGGTGGCCCTGGGCGTTATACTGGAACTTAAGCAACAATAAAAGAAACCCAAACCATCCCTCCCAGGTCTTACAAAAGAGAAGTAGCAGCCGACCTGCCCTGAGGCTGACCAGCAGAAAGCCACCATTCTGCCTCCTCTTCCTCACCTTCTGGGTGCCAGCGCCCGCAGGGACCCCTGCCCAAGCCCCTTGGGGATGGAGTATCGCCTCTGCTTTGCATTTTCTTTTCTTATGCTGCACCTCACGCCTTGATGAGCTCTGTTATCCCAGCTGGAGGAACTGGGGAGAGGATTGATCTTCTCCAACTCCTCTCCTTGCCAACTCCCCACCAAGCAAAGTCCCGGCTCTGTTTGAAAACCAGCGCTGTCGGTCGTACTGCACAAGCTGAGTTTTATTGGTCACAGTGAAAACCCAGTAAAAGCAAGGTCCCTTCTCAACCGAACCCCTCAGTGGCCGGCGACGCCCGATTTCTATAGACGGAAGGTCTCTGGCTGTGCACAGCGATGCGGTGAAGCGACGTGGTGGCAGGATGGGAGCAGCACGAGACACCCCAGTGCAGCCTCTTGCTGCTCCACGAACTCTCTGAAGGGATGATCTAAAGAGATCAATTCCAGCGTACTGGCCATGTTTGTATTTATATTTTTTTTTCCCCACTCCAAGAGCAAACCCTGGGGCATCAGGTATTCCAGCCCCTTGTGCTTTTTCAAGGTTCGAAGCGTATTTGAGAGTCGCGTCCTCTCTTCTGACAGAAGCAGGGAGCAAGGTAATTCCTGCAAAGCAACCAACCCCACTCAAAAGAAAAAATAAAAAACAAAACCAATAGAGAGGGAAAGAAACATCCCTCCTTTCCAATGGGAAGAAAAAAAAAAAAACCAAGGAAGATAAATCCAAACCAACCCCCCTGCGCCCCAGGGCTGGTAGAAGGTGTCCGGATCCCAGAGTCCACTGTGTTGGTGGGAAAAGCCCAGTGCCCTCCAGGCACTGTCGGCAGCCCGACCGCCCTGTCCCGCGCTCGCCAGGGCACTCCCCAGGGTTCCTTGGCGTTGGCTCCTTGCCCTGTCCCTCCCACCGCAGAAAGGCCAGCAGTGGTCGGTCTGAACTCGGCGATGCTCTGGGCGCTCAGTTTTTCATCATGCCGAAGATGCGTCTTCTCCTTTTCACTGTTGTGGGTTTTTGCTTTTCAAATTCACAGTCCGATCCAAAAAAAGAGAGAAGATAGAGAGAGAGAAAGAGAGAGACGGGATGAAGAAGAGGAGGAGGGAGAGTTTGGCGCAGGGAGCGCGAGGCACGCCGGGCTCTCCTTCTACGCGTAAAACTCCTCCTGCTTGTCAGGCTTCTGGTAGGTCACGTTGGCTTGTTTGGGCTCCTCCAGCGTGTAACTGCCCTCGTCCTTCTTCTTCATCCGGTAGATGAGCAGCATGACCAGGAAGGCAGCGAAGAGGGCTCCCACCACGCCGCCCACGATCACCGCTGCAACACAGAGAAACGGCACAGTCGTCAGTGCCGCCCCCAGCCCAGCTTTCAGCAAAAATAATTCCAGGGGATCATTTTGGATTCCAGAATTGCAAGTTTGTGAGCAACTCTTCTCACAAAATTTATGGTTAAGAAAACTAAAACCAAAGGTGAGGGGCAAAGGCAATTGTGTGACTCAAGGAGCTTCAGCAATTTCCCAAGTGCAGCGATGCTGGAGGGTGGGGAGGACCCAAAAGCATCTATTCTACAGCCGCACGGTGGGTGATGGGACTGGCATGGGGCAGCCCAGGGATGGAGAGAGGTCTCTGCTGCAAGGAGGGTGCAGAACGTCCCCCAAGGAGCTGCTCATTTGGGTGCCTGCTGGCATCCACCATGCTCAGCTGAAGACCACCAGACTAAGAGCTGCTTTGCTGTGCCATCGCTTCCAGCTCCCTTCAGCTGGCAATGGGACCGTGACACCTCTGCCCCATGTCTGATGCCCCTCTGGCCAGGACAAGTGGCCCTCCAAGGGCACCTCTCTCCTCCCCTGAGTTCAGAGGTGGCCGGGTGGCATTCAGCCAGCACCGCAGCACATCTTTCCGATAACATCCTATTTTATATTTTTTTTTCCTGGAAAAAAAAAGCATCTTGGCGAAAGCAAATTGTGCACAGCTTTGCACTCTCCCAGCAAAGACATGAAAACCCCTGGGAGCCCCCAGCACAGGTGCTGAAGCTGTCTGGTTTTGCAGGTGAGGTTGGGGTATCCCAGGCTTGACGCTACCCCAATGTCCTGCCAAAGACCGACCCCTCTCCTGGGGCATGGACAGCCCACTTTTTCCCCGACAAGCCCACAGCCTCCAGTCTCACCTATCAACACTTCTTTCCTCTCCAAGATGTTTTTCTGGGGGAGCTGAGCAGCTGAGTTGCCGGAGTCTATCGTGTTGTCAATCAGCCCTGGCTCCGCGTTCTTGCCCAGCCCGGGTCCTGCTGGTGGCGTCACCACAGCCATCACCTCGTTACCAAGCTCAGGACGAGTCGTCTCCTCCTCCTCCTGGATCTCAAAGTCCCCGCTGGGGCCGCTGCTGACCGGGACCTCTAGCTCGTTGTTGAGGACTGTGGTCACCTCCCCTGGCTCCATCTGGGAGAAAGGACAAGATGGAGCAGGGAACAAGGACCAAAGGGTGGTTCCTGCCTCCAGCAGCTCCAATGTGTCCGTAGGAAGGACATCACAGCAGCGATGACAGGGTGGCCCTCTTAGCAGGTAATATGGGGGATAACATTGGGGTGTCCCTTCCCTGTGTCACTAAAGTGGATGGTTACATTGCCACAAGCAACACAACCCCACGTCTTGATGGTCACCAAAAGGCTGAGGCCACCATGCCTGAGCTGGACCATTGTTTTCTGTCCCCATCTCAGGTGCCCTCGAGGTGCACAAATTCCCACCTGTTCCCTATAGTTTCCTATAGAAAGACCTAAAGAGATCCCCACTCCCTCATCTGGGCTCTCCGTCCCCAGCATACACCAAGGGCTGTCTGGAACATCTCCCAGTTGCCTCCTCGCTGGGCATGAAGTGATGGAACTCCTTGTGCTACAGCAACAGAGCAAGTGTAAAGATCGGATGCCATCGGATGAGCCCCAGGAGGGTCCCTTCCCTCTCCCTTTTCTCCCTTCAACCTGCTCCTAAAGTTGCAGCCCTGTGACACAGGGTGGGAGCAGGAAGATGGGTCCTTCCCACCAAGGACACAGAGCCAGCTCAGCTCCCTGCTGCGGTCCCCGACCAAGTCCCCTTGGCCAGGAGGTGAACCCAGCCTGGAGAGCAAACCTGGGCTGGGCAGATCATAGAGTCATAGAATCACAGGATGGTTTGGGTTGGAAGGGACCTTAGAGATCATCCAGTTCCACCCCCTGCCATGGGCAGGGACACCTCCCACTAGCCCAGGTTGCTCAAAGCCTCAAATGCTCAAAGCCCCAGATGAGATACTCCATCCTTCTCAGGGCCAAATCCCCCCCGACCTTCCCCCTTGTCCCAGCACCCTGACCCCCTATATGGACACATGCTGGGCTGCACTGAGCATCCCTGAGCAAAGCCTCCCCAGGATCCCTCCTTTGTGGGGCCAACAGCTGCCTCAGGATGTTATAAATGGGGATGAGCAAAGAGCTCGATGGGCCGAAGCCGCGGATGGTAAACAGGAGCCCTCTCCATGTCACACCGCCCCCGGCATAAGCGCACGGCTGGCTGCTTCCCACGAGCAGGGATTTTTGTGACAGAGATTAATTGAAGGTCAGCAAGAGCCCAGAGCACTATACATACATATACGTACCCAGAAAAGAAGAACTAGTTTAAACAAATCACTCCACCTTTCAGTCAAAGTGGTTTTCAAAGGGACCCCGAGGGGCTCTGAACGAGAGATGGATCGGTGGATTAAATCCCCTGCTCAGGACACCCGACGGGCTGGAAATGCACCATCAAGCTGTAATTGCGGAGCGTTTGGGCCTCCCCGTGATGGGCTGCGAGTTGGGAAATGGTGTGATGAGCCCAGACACCGCACCTGGAGGAAAGCAGTGGGCCCCCCGCCATGGGGCAGTGGGACCCCAGCCCTGCTCCCCTCCTGCATGGGGACACTGCTCTGGAGCGGCTGGGCAAGGCAGAGCCAGGGGCACAGGGGACATGTGGCACTGCCCTCGGTGCCCGCGCCCCCCATCAAGCTCTTGCACCAGCCCCATCACCATGCTCTGCCCATGCTAGACCCCCCACCCTTTAATATCCCATCTCCCCAAAATGTTCCACTCTCCGCAGAGCTGGGACGAGCCCAACCTGGCTCGACCTCCCTCTGAGCAACTGGCTCAAGACGGATCCACCCCAAAGGCTTCCCATCACCATCGCTTGGCTTCCAACCTGGCCCACAAGCCCTTCAGCACCTGCCTCCTACCTGGGGGGCTTCTGTGGGCGGCAGCGTGGTGGGACTGGATGGCAAGGCAGTGCTTTTTTCTGTGGGGTCTGCAGTCCTCGAGGTGCTTGGTTTTGGCAGGGTCCTGGGCTTGGCTGTGCTGGTGGGGACAAGCCGTGACGTGGTCACCTCTGTTGGTGTGCTGGTTTCCAGGACGGAGGTGGTGGGTGTCTCCAGGGTGGTGGCCTGGGTGGTGGCTGCCTTGGTGACAAAGGGGGGCAGGAATTTCCGGACAGTGGTGGGCTTGGCGGTGGCCATGGTGGTGCTGGTGGT